AAGTGTTCTGGAATACTCATACTTCTCAGTGTTGTACATAGTGTAATCCCTATCAAAATTCTAGCAAAATATTTTGACGAATGGTGACTCTAAAACATATATTCTATTCAAAGGCTCTGTGATAGATCATACAATCTTGAAACGAGAGAACAAACTTGGAGTAATTGCGCTACTTGATTTCCAGAGGTAATATAAAGCTACCGTATTCAAGACGGCATCGTATTTACATGAAGACAGACAAAAACAACAACAGAACAGAGGTCAGAAATAGATCTGCCCTGATACAGCCCAATGACTTTTGACAACACGGCCAAGTGAGCTCACTGGGGAAAGGAAATTCTTTATAGCAAATGTAATAGAAAAAACTAGCCATTAGTGTGGTTCAACATTAACCCTGGTCCACTGTTCATTCCATATACAGAATTAATATGAAATGGATCATTGTTGTTGTTAAGTGCTGTAGAGTCAGTGCCGACTCACAGTGACCCTGTATAGTGTTTATGAAGAGGGGCTGGTGAGTTTGAACCGCCGACCTTCAAGTTCAAACCGACCTTGAGGTCCAGTGCTAATCCTACTGCACCACACTCCAAATGGATCGTAGACGGAAGCAGAAAGTGATACCATGAAGCTTCTATAAGACAGCTTAGAAGGATAATTTCACAATGTTGAGGTAACAGACAGCGTAGGCCATAGAAGAAAAAACAGAAACAAAACACCAACATTGGCAAGTAGAACTACAAAATTATAAATATTTCCTCTTTGAAAATGCCCCTGTGACTGACTGAGGAAAGTTCTCAGCCTTGAGTTCTGCTGGATTTCAATTGAGTGGAACCATAACATATTTTCTCTCATTGAAAGTTTTTGAAGCTCATGCCAGCTGTTGTGGGGATCAAGTCTTGCTTGAAGCTCATGCCAGCTGTTGTGGGGATCAAGTCTTGCTTGAAGCTCATGCCAGCTGTTGTGGGGATCAAGTCTTGCTTGTTTGTGTTACTGAGTGGTGTTCCATTGCATAATCTTTCACAATTTGTTTATTCATTCTGGGTTGTTTCCCATTTTTTGGCTATCGCGAGTAAGGCTATGGTGAGCATTCTTGTACAAGGTTTTGTGTGGACATATGCTTTCATTTGTCTCGAGTAAATGTTTAGGAATGGAATTATGGGGCCATAGGTCAGGTATGGAGTTCCGGTGTGGCACTGTAGGGTAAGCACTGGACTGCTAACTGAAGGTTGGTGGCTCTAATCCACCAGTTGCTTCTTGGTGACTCTATCTAGGGTTGCTATGAGTTGAAGTCGACCTGCCAGAACTTAACAACATCAACAGCAGGTCAGGTATGGATTTGACGTCAGAAGACACTGCCACACCATTCTCCAAAGTGGCCCTAACGTCTCCCTCTCCAGCGGCTGTGGACGGCAGTCCCAGGTGCTCCGCATCCTCGTCATTTGGTGTGCTCTCTTATATTTGCTTTTCTAGTGGTATGAAAGGAGCTCTGGTAGCGTAGTGGTTACGAATCGGGCTGCGAACCTTAAGGTCAGCGGTTCGAAACTACCAGCCGCTCCGCGGGAGAAAGATGAGGCTTTCTACTCCCGTAAAGATTTACACCCTCAGAAACCCTGTACAGGGTCGCTATGGGTCGGAACCGACTCGACGGCACATAACAACAACAACAACAACAACAAGTGGTATGAAACTATGTCCACTCTGATTTTTATTTGCTTTTCCCTGAAGACTAATGGTATTGCTATCTTTTCTTGTTGACTTCTTGGTCTTTTGCACATTTTCATTAAGAAGTGCCATTTTAAGAATTTTTCCCTATTTTAATAGCATTTTTTTCATCTTTTCTTGGTTGATTTGTGATAATTCTTTTATATGTTCTGAATACTGTCAGATTTATGTGCAATGGATACTTTCATCTGTCAGTCACTTTTCTACTCATTTTCTTATGACATGGGTGCCCTGGTCCACATGGGTGCCCCAGTCTATATGTGTGCCTTGGTATACATGGGTGCCCCAGTCCACATGGGTGCCCTAATCTATGTGGGTGCGCTGGTCCACATGGGTGCCTTGGTTTACATGTATGCCCTAGTCCACATGGGTGTCCCTGTTCATCTGGGTGCCCTTGTCCATGTGTCCTAGTCTACATGGGTGTCCTGGTCTGTGTGAGCAGGGTCACAGATCCGACCTGGGGGTCACGGGGCCCATTTGAAGTTGGTGTGTAAGGAGACACCTGGGAGATCCTACTGAGTCCTCCATCCCCTGGGAGGCCCGATTGAGTTTGGCCCCTTCAGATCCAGAATGAGGTGACCTGCCCTAAGGTACACACTACTGAGGTTCTGGTGTCTGCTTTGGGCAGGCTGGAAGCAAAGTGGACACTTCCAAGACCTTCTGAAGCATACCCCACAGTGAGGAGCGATGACCAGTCTTATGACTCTTTATTGAAAATTCCCAAAGAAAGACCGTGAATTTGGGGTGTGGGGCATTTGGGAGATGCTGCTGACACTGAGCCCAAAAGATCTGATTTTTAGGGTCCACTTGGAGGGGCTGGGGGAGACTGGTCCCCGGCCCTCCCTTTGCTTTGCTGCCGTGGGTCAGCAGCTCTTTTGGGCCCTAGACCTTGTAGTTGGCTTCGGTCATTCTCCTGAGCATCTCTCAGTGGGCCTGGGGCTGGTAGGTGGTCACAGCTTGTTCCGAGGGCAGCGCTGCAGAGCCTCCTTCAGGGCGTTCACCACAAGGTCCACGTTCTCCCGGGTGGCGTTGCAGCCCAGAAGCCCTATACGTAGCACCTGGGAGGTGGGACGCAGGTGGGCTCAGATGTCTTTCCTTCTCCTGCCACTCCCTGGCCCATGGTGAACATGCACACCCAGGCCAGGGATCAGCTCTCTGGGCCGCCCCCCACATCCACAGAGTGAGCGAAGGAATTAGGGGGACCAGGATTGTCCAACAAAGGCACCATCTGAGCATGGCCCACTCAGCGTTAGTGAGGCTCAGGGCCACACAGTGGGACACAGATGTGCTGATGGAAACGGAGAGGCCAGCTGCGTCAGGCTGATGCCATGGGGACCAAGGGTGACCTCACTAGTTGGGGCTCAGGGGACAGGAAAAGACACGTGCCCAAGACTCCTTCTTACAGAGGTCACCAGGTTTAGACGGGGGCATTCCTTCTCATTGTCCCGCTGTCTATCCTGGGACCTCCTGCAGTGCACCCGCTGATTGGGGACAGCCAGCTGGACTGAAATTTTCTTCATCCTCTCACCTTCCCTACTGAGGGCCCGAGGCCACCTGTGATCTCGATGTTGAAATGGTCCATGAGGTAGCTGACGATGTCCTTCCAGTCATAGCCAGCAGGGATGGCCACTGTGGTGACCGTAGGCAGTCGGAGCGCCTGCCAGACAGGGCGGCTCAGCCAGGTGGGTGGGCACTACATGTACCCTCACCACCTAGGGCAGCAGCAGGGGAGAGGGCCGGAGGGGAGCTGGTCCACACTGCTTTGCTGCCCACCCCCCACCCTGGGCTCTGAAGGGCAGGGCAGCTGAGCCTGGGTGAGTCCCACCCACCCTGAGGTGATGAGGGCTCCAGCTTCCCCTGAGACTAGCTTCACCTCACAACTGGGGTTGTTCAGGACCTTCTCTCTGCGTGAGCCCTGGAACCCCTCACCACCACCAGCACCAGTGGGCCATGGCTGGGGGCTCAGGAGAGGCAGGGGGCTGTGAGCCAAGTGTTCCAATGTCTTGAGCTCCCGTATCCTGAGAACTCAGGGCCCCAACACTGGGCAGAGTCAGGACATCCCCATCTTGGCCCCTACCGGGTCCTTGACAAAGAGCTGCAGACCCAACTCCTGTAGGCGTCCTTGCAGGTAGGTGGTGGCTTCCTGGTGTTTCTTCCAGCTGTTCTCCAGGCCCTGTGGGGAGAAGATCCCCAGATGTTATGAGGATGGGACCAGAGGGGAGCCTGATTTTTCCAATTGCCAACTGCGGGCCCAGGGAGAGGAGCAGGGTGGATGTCCTCTTTTGTCCAAGGTCTGGTCACCCTCCTGTCTGCTCCTAGTTCACTGGAGGGTGGGAAGGGGCAGTGCTTATGAAATCTCCATCCCCTGGCTCGTTGACCTCCAGGAGCCCTGACCTCCACCTACTACAGTCACTGGCTCCCAAGTCCCCCTCCTACTGGCCTCTGGCATTGGGGGTGGGGGCGATGGGAGTGGACTGATGGGCAGGGGAGGGGACTAGAGACCCCAGTGCACTGCCTACACCTCCTGTTCCAAGTCCTTCTTGGGGTCTCAGGGAGGGTGGCTGCCGCCCCTGGAATAACCATGCTGAGTGGGATCCCCTCCTGGAGCCCAGCCTCCATCCCTCGGTGTACACGGCCCCTCACCTCCTCCGCTATGATAGCCAGGCTCTCCCGCAGGCTGAACAAACTGATGACCGGGGTCGTGTGATGGTAGCTGGAAGGCAGCCAGAGCAGGGTCAGGTCCTCACGGGCTGTCCCTCACCCCAGAGCCTGACCTGCAGGCCTGCTGGGCTCAGACCTCTTCCCCACCTCTCTGAGCTTTCCCACCCTCTCCTGAGTGGGTACACTGATGACCAGGATGGGGACGGGTAGCAGGGCCCCATCCAATGTGGGAGGTGCACAGAGATGTCTCTGGAGGACAGTGTGTGGAGGTGGGGGCCGCACTTTCTGCCTGAGACTGCAGGCCAGGTGAAGGAGGAGTAGGAGGTAAGAGAGGGGTAGGCCCCTTGGGGCAGCGGCTGGCCTAACCCAGGTGAATGTCGGGGCTGAGAGCCACCTTCCCTTCCTCTGTGCCCTCAGGCCCACATATCAGCCTGTCCCGCCACACCCTCACCTCCCCACCACTCTAGGCCACCCTTCCTCACCCCCAGGCCCATCCCTGCCTGACATTCACCTTCTAGGCTTATCTCCACAGTCCCAGAATTTGGCTAACCACTTCATGTCCAGATAGAAGGAGCAGGGTTTCGTCTTCCGAGAGTAGATCTTATTTCTGGTGAGAAGAATCAGGCTAAGCTGGGAGTGAGGGATCCTTGGGGACAGACAGACGTGGTCCTGGGAACACAGGCCCCAGGGCACCCCCCTCATCAGGGCTGCCTGGGCTCCCCAACCATAACCCTGGGCTCCCCACCTGGCCTTGTCGCTGAAGGAGATGAGTGAGGTCCCCGGGGGCGAGTTCAGCACCTTCTGGGAGCCAGTGTACAGAATGTCGATCTCTGTGGAAAGAGGGTGCTGTGCTGGTGGGAGACGCCCTGGGTTCAAATCCCTGACCACCACCAGATCCTGAGCCTCCTGTCAGCTTATCCCTCCATCAAGGAGGTGCTGTGTGGGCCCCCGGACATCTCTGCTCCCTCGTTACTGGGTCTGTTCTATGGGAGCAGGAAGGAACTGGAGGGTCAGCCCAGGGACACCCCTCAGGGCCGAGGAGCCTTGTTGGAACAGACGCTGCAGGAGGTAGCAGCCAACCTATCCCAATGGCCTGAGGACTGTAGGCCAGCTCTGGGAACAGAGGCCCTGGGGCAGGCAAGCCAGCCCTGATAGTAGCAGAACGTCCGCTATTGGACCAGAGCCAGGGAGAAACCGAAGCACTGTATGGTCAGTACCCCAGTCCTGGCCCCGATTGAGAAGACTGGTAAAGGTGCCCCCTCTGCTGGTCCCAGATACCCTCTCAGATCAGGTCCTTGTCGGGCCTTGACCACTCAGCACATGAGGTACAGATCTGATAAGGGGGTCTGCTTAGCCTTTCCGCTAGTCCCTTGGGAAAGTACAAGTCTGGACTCACTGCCATGGGAGTGCTCCAGCCAGGGCCTACCTGCCCTCAGAGCCCACCCAGAGAGCACCCCTACCTTGCTGATCCATGTAGATGGGTGTCCCGCCCAGGGAGGCAACAGAGTCCACAAGGAGCAGACAATTGTACCTGGTCAGGGGGTGGGGGGGAGCAGCGTGAAGCAGGACCAGGGGCCTTGGGGCTCAGACCTCGGCCTGTTTGTGGAGGGGCCTGGATCACCTGGGGTGTGTAGTGTGAAGTAGGACCAGGGGCCTTGGGGCTCAGGGGGCCTGGAATGCCCTTAGAGGCCCGCAGAGAGGTAGGTGGAATCTCCCACCTCCCGCATGTGGCCCTTCCTCAGGGACCTCTGTGGCCAGAGCTCTCTCTATCTCTCTAGCTTGGGCACTGAGCTAGCTGGGTCAAAGCCGTGGCCCCACCCGGAGGGACCAGAACATGAATGTGGGGAGGATCTGCCTGGGCAGCAGTGGTCCTCAGGCTGACCAGGGGCTCGGGTCACTCAGACCTGAGGACTGTGTGCGAGTGGGGGGCGGGCAGAAGCCTGTGCTTTCCAATACAGACACAGCTCAGCCAAGCACCCTGCCAACAAGTCTAAGTCCAGAGTCCAGAGACAGCCGAGCTGAACTGTCACCTCTTCTTCCTTGTCCCTACATGCTTTTAGTTTAAAAAGGCTCCGGGGCAGGGGTCCGGGAGCTGTGCTAACTGGGGACAGAGCTTGACATGGTGTTTCTCTGGGTAAGACTCAGGACCAAGTAGCTCCATTCAGAGCCCTACTCTGGGCCCCGGTGCAGGGAGGGGAGCTGAGGCAGAGCGCTTAGCCCCACGCCCTTCCGCACGCTGGTCCTGGAGCCACCCAGACTGAACCCCAGGGCTCCCTATATCCCTGCGGCAGGACAGAGGCCTGGGCCCAGGTCCCTCCTGGGTGAAAGCTCCTCCTGCACCCCCCCACCCCTGCTTACCGGTGGCAGAGCTCCCCATAACCATCCAGGGGCTGCAGCACCCCGCTGGACGACTCCCCATGTGTCAGGAACAGCAGTGTTGGCTTGTGCTGGGCCAGGCCCTGAGTGGGGAGAGGCAAACTGTGTCAAACTGTGGCAGTCTGACACAGACGGGGGCTTTACACAGAAGGCAGGACTCCACAGACAGCAAGGTCCAGGGCAGAGTGGCTTGCCCCGCTGCATTTGCTGGGCACTTGTCAGCTGGAAGAAGGGTCTTTGCTCAAGAAGAGGACCTCTGTCCGGAGTCACCAGTCTTCTGCGATCATGGAGCCTTCTCCCCATGAAGTCAGTCCCTCTGCACCAGGTTGGGGTCTGCTTACCACTGGGAGGTCCCACTGCCCTGCTCCCACACAGACTCCTGCCCCAACCTCTGACTCGTTTCCCTGTCAGTCCACGGAACCCAGGGAAGCCCTCCTGGGACGTTAGCCAAATGATGGTGTGGGACAGGTTTCCTAGAACCCCATACCCCGTACCTCCTCCACTTCCTGCAGTGTGTAGTAGCCTCCAGGGTCCTTGTTCATGGGGTGCACGCGGGCTCCTGGGGGCAGGGACAGATGGGTGGTCATCAGTTCCCATGCTGAGCCAGCAGGCCCAGGCAGTCAGAAGGGCAGAGACCCCCACACTCTGAACCCAGGATGGCTGAGGGCAGCGGACAAGGACAGTGAGTCACATGAGGGCGCCTTTCCAAGGGAAGCAAGTGCTGACTTGGCCTTCAGGGCTGTCCGGGTGAGGCCTCTCCGGAAGGCCAGCATCAGCCCCATTGTCCACGTATGAGAGCTGTGTGCGCTTGGCTGTGGCCAGTACTTCCCTTCCCATCTGAGGGACCACACCTGGCCCATTCTGGCCACACACAGAAAGCCCACAGGTGTCTGGTAACTGAGTGGACCCTGCCTGACTTTGGGGCTGGTCCTCCCCCAACACCATGTGTCCTGTGCACATCCAACCGCCAGAGCTGCAAGTAGAGGGTCAGCCTCATACCACCCCAGCCCCATGGAGGGATGGAAGCCAGGGGGAGGGGGCTTACCCAGGCTGCTAGAGCTGGGCCCTGGCCCCACCTGGGAGCCGTCCAGGGTTGTCCATTACCGTGGCCTGAGAATGGCCGTGTGTGGAGCTAAGTTGACCCACTGTCAATCATTAAGTCCCGAGCAGCACCTGCCTCTCTCGTGAAAACGTTCCTCCACAGGCCAGATTCTGCTTCGTCCCCAGGTTCATGGGTCCCACCCAGGCTCAGGATGAGGGTGGGGTGTGAGATTTCAGGGTGAAGGACCTTGGAGAACTGTCAAGACCAGAAGCATCCTCGTGGTTCTGTCCCCCCATCCCCATGCTCCAGGAGACCCGGACATATGAACACCTGCTGTGTTCTGGGCGGGTCAGGGCCTGGCCCCGGATCACTGACTTCTGCCTTGGGAAGGTCGAGGCACCAAGGAAGGGCCAAACCGGGGCAAGGGCCCGCCTGGGAAATGGCCCAGAGAATCTCCCTTGGCCTTACCAATGCGCTCCCCAATGTCTGCAGCCCGGAGCCCCCATATGCCGTTGGTCCCCACCAGGAAGGAGTCCCCGGGCTCCAGGACGTTGATCAGGGCAGCCTCCAGGGCGCTGTGTCCTGATCCACTGATGGCCAGCGTGAGCGGATTTTTGGTCTGGAAAACGTACTTGATGCCCTCCTTAATGTCATCCATGATCTGAGGCGGGTAGCGGTGGAGCACACAGTTAGCCCCCTACTCAATGTCGTCAATGATCGGGTGGGCACACAGTTAGCCCCCTCCTTAACGTCGTCCATGATCTGGGGGAGCACACAGTTAGCCCCCTCCTTAATGTCGCCCATGATCTGGGGGGGGAGGCACACAGTTAGCCCCCTGCTCAATGTCGTCCATGATCTGGGGGGGCATACAGTTAGTGCCCAGACCAGGAGGGTGCTGCACCTGAACCCCAGATCTCACCTACCTGGAACATCTCCTTATGCATGTGGCCAATCATCTGCAGGCTCCCGGCGGCCACGACACGTGGGGCCAGGTTAGAGGGGCCTGGCCCCAGCAGGAGCCGCTTGGGGACCGACAGAGGCTTCCGAAGGACCTCCGGGGGTGGCACCAGCAGCTGGTAGGAGGCCATGGTCCGCACCTGTCCTGCTGCTCGGGGCCCTAGGGCCGCACTGGCCACGGCCAAAACCCGGAGCATTTCCCAGCTGGCCACGCGCCGCACACGGTGCTCAGGTGTGGTCAGTCTGAGGTGATGGTGCTCCTGCCACCCCCACGCCTGTTGTTGGTTGTCATTACCTGACCCCTTATAGATGAGGACAGAGTCTGACCACTCGGGTGCTGAACTCTGGCCGGAGAGGCGGTGCCTCCAGGTCCTGTCAGTAGCTGGGGCTGTCCTCCCTCTCCGGCCCCTGCCCACTCCCTCCCAACAGGTCCTGGAATCCAGTCCAGTCCCATCCTACTGAGCTTGGGTGTCTGTAGAGTTCTCCTTAAAGGGCCAGAGAGCAAATATTTCAGGCTTGGCAGGCTACATGGTTTATGCTGTGATGATTAAACTCTGCCATGGCCATGGGAAATCAGCCACACTAGATGCCGATAAAACTTTATTAACAACATCAGCTGAGGGGGAGGACAGATACAACCCCTGTGTGGGAGTTTGCTGACCTTGGCTTAGCTGATGGAAAGGTCCAACTGAGAACACATATATGCACTGTGCGTGTCCACGCATGCACACCCCCACACATGCAGGCATGCTCAGGCACACACATGCACACATCTACACATGAATGCTCACCCTCGTCTGTCATTCTGTTGTACTGTGGTGGCGTGTGTGTAGCTGTGATGCTGAAAGCTACGCTATCAGTATTTTAAATATCAGCAGGGTCACCCACGGTGGACGGGTTTCAGTGGCGTTTCAGATAAGGCAGAGTTGGAAGAAGGAGAGGTGGGGGATTTCTGAGTGTTTAACCACTGAAAACCTTATAGATAGATGCAGTGCGGAGAGATGAAAACCTTAAATATAGATACAGTGCTGAGAGATGAAAACCTTATAGATAGACACAGTGCTGAGAGATGAAAACCTTATAGACAGATACAGTGCTGAGAGATGAAAACCTTATAGATAGATACAGTGCTGAGAGATGAAAACCTTATAGATAGACACAGTGCTGAGAGATGAAAACCTTATAGATAGCATTGGAACATTGTCAGATAAAGTGCTGAGAGATGAAGACATTATCAATAGCATCAGAACACTGTCAGATACAGTGCTGGAAGATGAAGACATTATCAATAGAGCCAGAAAACTGTCAGATACAGTGCTGAAAGATGAAAACATTATCAATAGCATCAGAACACTGTCAGATACAGTGCTGGAAGATGAAGACATTATCAATAGAGCCAGAACACTGTCAGATACAGTGCTGGAAGATGAAGACATTAT